ATCGAACTTTTTCGACGTTCGTATCCCACTTTTCCTCATCCTCCGTAGATGCGGCAAGTGACGATAGAATCGTTCGATTATATCTCTCAACCTGTCCGTTAGCCCTGGGAGTGGCTGTAGCGTTTAGAACGTGGTTAATATTGAGGTCATGACAATATTTCTGGAACTCCTTAGATGTATAACAACTTCCACGGTCCGATATAATTCTTCTTGGAACACCAAAATTTTGGATAACATCTTCCAAAAATGTGACCAACGGTCTTGTTTTCGTGTTCTTTACCGCCCTTAGGAACACAAACTTTGTAAACGAATCCACAATAACGATCAGGTATTGATTTTTTTTTTTCGAGATGTAACGAATGGTCCTAAATGATCGATGTGAAGTGTATCAAAAGGTACGGCGGCCTTGTCGATTGGATGTAAACATCCGGGGCGCTTCCCACCAGGTTCCTTATTGTACAAACAAGGCAAACAAACTGCTATGAATTTCTTTACATAACGCCTCATTCCCGGGAACCAATATAGTTTGTTTATAGCTGAAAGAGTCTTATCTACCGACATGTGCCCGATACCATCATGGAAATGTAGCACCACTTGGCGTCTTGCAGCTCTAGGCACAACCCATTTCTTTCCGTCTGGCATTTTCTTGTAGAGCCGGTTGTTTTCGATGCAATATTCCTTGTGTATTAACTGCTCTTCTGCATCTGTCGGTATCTTGGTAAGTACTTCCACGAGATATTTGCACCTTTCGTCCATCAATTGTGCGTGTAATATCCAATCGTCATTAGTGATATTAACCTCATTTACATCAACGCTATCTTCTCCATCGAGTTGATTTAAAGGATTTCGACTCAAAGCATCTGCATGTGCCATCTTCACTCCGGGTCGGTATAACACATCGAACGTGAACTCTTGAATAGCTAGCCACCAACGGCCAATCCTTGGTACGAGGTCTCTTTTGCAGAGAGTGGTTCGTATGGCACTGCAATCAGTAACGACCGTAAACTGGATACCCATAAGATAAATTCTAAAATGCTTCAAGGTGTCTACCACAGCGATAGTCTCCAGCTCATACGAATGGTATCGTTGTTCCTCCTTTGATGTTTGTCTCGAGTAGTACATCACGGGTTTAAGCTTGCCGTCGTGCTCTTGTAAAAGAATTCCTCCAATTCCCCACTTTGAGGCATCAGTATGAACTTCCGTTCTAAGTTCTGGATCGTATATAGCTAACAAGGGCCTACTAGACAGTTTTTCTTTAAGAGTCTCGAATGCTTTACGTTGATCCGCATTCCAAGAAAAACCTACATTCTTTTTAGTTAATGTAGTTAACGGCCTGGCTATTGTTGCGAAGTTGTATATATATCGTCTAAAATAACTAGCCAAACCCAAAAATTGTCGCACCCTGTGAACGTCTGTGGGCTCAGGATAGTTCTTGACTGCTTCTATTTTCCGAAGTCCTGGCTGAACGCCTTCTGGACTGATTTCGTGCCTGAGGTAATTAACTTTCTCCAAGAAGAACTGGCATTTTGAGAGTCTTAAAGTTAAACCAGCTGATCTCATTGAGCTGAAAACGTTTTCCAATAGCTGAAGACCTGAATCGAAATCTCAAGACTTTATTAATCGTACGTTGAAATACTGCGGGGGCATTACACAAGCCAAAAGGGACCCTTAGGTATTCATAGTGCCCATCCGGCGTGATGAATGCAGTTTTTGAAATCGATGATTCTTCAAGTGGTATTTGATGATACCCACAAGCTAAATCCAGGCTAGTGAAGAACTTGCAACCCTTGAGTTTTTCCAAAAAGTCATCAGTGTAGGGTAACGGAAACCTATCTTTAATTGTTTTCGAATTTAGTAGTCAACGCACATACGTTGTTCGCCATTCTTTTTCCTCACAAGCAATATTGGGCTCGAATAGGGAGACTCCGACTCTCGAATAATGTTGTTTTCCAAAAGATCGTTAACTATACTTTTGACCTCTTCACGCTCTTTATAAGAAAGCCGATAGGGCCGATAAACTACCGGTTTGTTATCTATTGTGTGAATCGACATTTTTAGAACATCTGTTTTGCCTAGCTCGCTGTTATTTTGTGCAAAACAGTCCCTATACGAGTTTATCAGATTTAGCAACCGTGTCACTTGATCAGCATATAAATTTTTATTATAAACCAAGTCGTTTTGGTTAAACAGAGGCTTGCAATTTGTTGTAATAGAGAAATTCGTTATCTCTGGACATGACGATTTGTCCTCAAAACATTGTACACTTCGAACTAATATAGGAGCTGTACTTACCTCAAATTGTTGCTGAGAAACGTTAGTTATGGAGACGTATCCATGCTCTCCTCGTGTAATGCACTCCCCGATGTAATGTTCTCTGTTTGGAACGTCTCGCAAACTGCCTGGAACGTAAACTTCACCGTCGAAGCCATTTCGTGATGTCACTGCTACCAACGCTGTGCTTTGAGGCGGAATAATCAAGCTCTCTTTGGCCCACAGTGGTATTTTCCTCGGCTTCACGTGTAGAGCTTCACCCAAATCGTCGTCCGTAGTCAGAAGTCGTACTTTGTCATTGGCAACAACCATAATTACATGTGGTAGATTCACAAAAGATTGGCCAATCATAATCGGAATATCTTGAACGTTGTCGGGTACCACAAAAGCTTTTACGTTAGCCGTAGCCCGATCTATCTCAACAGCGATGTTCGTTTCTCCGAGGACGGCAATGTTCGACGCACTATACCCTCTAATTAATGTGGAACAAGGGGTGAGGTTTAATTTCAGATCCCTAGCAGTGGTTTCCTTTAACAGCACTGCGCCACACCCGGTATCAACGTATAGTACGTGATTTCTACCCCCATCTGCTTTTTAAACAAAATTTAATTTTTAGAGATAATTATTAATAGAGGAATACGTTTCTACCGGGTTGCCTATCAAAATATGGCCGCAAGTATCTTTAATTAAAATTTAAATATTTCATTTTTTTTTTAAATTGCACCCACTTAGTTTAGAGATAAATTATAATTTATTTTATAGAGAGATATCTAAAGAACTTAAAAATTATGGGTTGCCGTTTCCCACTTGGCCGCAACCCCTTGGCAACCACGTGTAAACAGGTATTACTCCGGTCAATTTTGCACCTATAACGTATTTTAATGAATTATATGTTAAATTAAAGCTATTTTTTTTCTCTACACGATGGTACACGGTTGCCTATGATAAAGTGGCCGCAAATAGGGGTTGCCAACTGTTAAAGATAGCGCACCAAAACGTCTATCAGAAAAGATCGCAGTGTGCCAGTTTTAGTTTATTTTAAAACGTCATTTTTACGAACAAAGTCATGTTTAGGTAGGTCACCTGTAGACTTGACATTAGAGCAGACGATCAATGCTGATGCCGGTAATACTTTAACTGGTGTTAGTCATTTCACAAACTCAATATCTGCACGACAGAGATGGGCTCTCAGTCACAGCATGAGGACTAAAATTCTTTCAGCAGTAAAGGTAGAAATCGGGTTATCACATTCAGATGATACTTCTCATTCTTTGGAAAAAAACCGAATTGAGAAAGACAACAAAACTCTTAGCAGTATTCTTGAAACAATAAAGAAAACAATGGATCCTTTCGATGAAAACCTGGATAAAAATATTTTATTCAACATGTCAACTGGTAAAGCGGCATCCTCAAATGTTGCTGATTTTTTGCTCAACATCAAGTCATTAGGTCATCAGCTAAAATTGCGTTTCTTTTCGGAATGTTTTAAAGATTCTTCAAGATTTGTAAAACCCATAAAACGAAATAATATTCATAACTTTGCATCTGATTGTGTAAAAAAACTAATAAAAGGTAAGAACAGAGGCAACCAAGCAATAATTAAAATGGAACGAGATATTTTCGGACGGCTGTTGGCAATTGTTATCAATAAAAAAGTTGATATTGAGTACTGCTTATCGTATCCCCTTGCACCTGTACCTCCAGCACTGTTTCATTGTACTGGCCACATGTTTAAAACAGACAAGTCTACTTTTAGTAAACATTTAAAGTCAAAGATTGAACCATCTCACCCTGGACAAATTGACATAGAAATAATTGATGGTTTCTACTATATGTATGTATGGGCACCACTTTGCCACAAACATTTGGAAAGCTAGCTGAATCGATATTGATAAAGCTTTGTTCAACTAATGCCAGTGAAGTTCACATCATATTTGATAGATACCTAACGCCTTCCATCAAAGATTGCGAAAGACAGAATCGAAAGGAAATTGATATTCCCTATTCAATAAATGGTCCGTTGCAACCTAGACCTAGAGATTTTTTAATAAGTTTAAAGAATTATCGTTTTAAAGAATTCTTAAGCTATGGTTAAATTTTTAGCTGATCACTGGGGTAACGACTTTTTTGCTTCCGTATTGAAAACCAAAAAATTCTTTATTACAGTCGGTGAACTGTGATTTTCATATTGTTCGGTTGGAAACCGCGTTATAAAAAAAGAAGAAACTGAATTAGCATGTCAGCATGAGGAAGCGGATACACGAATTATATTTCATATAAGCAAAGTACATCAAGACGCGAACATTTTGGTAAGAGCGAATGACACTGACGTACTAATTATTTTGCTAGGCAATTTGCACAAATTTCCCAATTTAGAAATTTGGCTGGCAAACAGTACATCAAAAAGCATTCATAATAAAGACCAAACTTGCATAAATTGTACGGAATTGGCAATGAAATTGGGTCCGACTTTATGCCTTGCGTTGCCAGCATTTCACGCATTCACAGGTTGCGACTATAGGGCTGCGTTTTTCAATAAAGGGAAAGTCCGGCCCTTTAATATATTTTCTAAGAGCCATAAGATTCAGCAGGTTTTTGGGTCATTGACTAACCCAAATGATATTTTTGACAATAACAAAATTAAAGTAATCCAGGAGTTTACTTCTCTTATGTATGGAATCAAAAATTGCCAAAGTGTAAATGCTGCAAGATATTTAATGTTTAACAAAATGTACGCAACAACAAAAAACAATGAAAAATTTATAAAAAAAGTTAAAGGCTTTGACTCAACACACATACCACCTTGCTGGAAATCTTTAAAACAAAAATTGTTGAGGACGATCTTTGTCAATTCAATGTATCAGAATGCCACTAAGCCGGATTTTATAAATTTTAGCGCTGAAAATAGCGGCTGGTTATTATTAGATGGTTTTTTAAAACCAACATGGTTTGTTGGAGATTCAACGCTACTGCAAGTCAAAGATGTGGTTTGTAATTCTATTAAAGAAATAGACGAGAATACAGATTATTCAGATATAAGTAGTTGTGTGAGTGACAGTTCCGATGAATCGGAGGATGCATAAATGCCTGTGTCTCTGTGAATGATACGAAAATGTAATTTTGTGTTTATAATTTAATATATTTTTGTTAAATTTGTTTGTTTTTTTAATGGATAATAACAAACTTGCACACTAAGAGAATTATATTTATAAATATAATTTATATTTTTTTATTAATTACTTTCTGAGGTTTTTTGTAATATTTAATGAGAACTCATTTTTGTAGGAATTTTTTATAAAAAATAAGCTAATATTTTACTTGAAAATATTTTTTATCTTAATATTATTCCAAAACTAAAAATAAATTTTTAACAGTTGGCAACCCCTATTTGCGGCCACTTTATCATAGGCAACCGTGTACCATCGTGTAGAGAAAAAAAATAGCTTTAATTTAACATATAATTCATTAAAATACGTTATAGGTGCAAAATTGACCGGAGTAATACCTGTTTACACGTGGTTGCCAAGGGGTTGCGGCCAAGTGAGAAACGGCAACCCATAATTTTCAAGTTCTTTAGATATCTCTCTATAAAATAAATTATAATTTATCTCTAAACTAAGTGGGTGCAATTTAAAAAAAATGAAATATTTAAATTTTAATTAAAGATACTTGCGGCCATATTTTGATAGGCAACCCGGTAGAAACGTATTCCTCTATTAATAATTATCTCTAAAATTTACATTTTGTTTAAAAAGCAGATGGGGGTAGTAATCACGCAGTCGGATCTTGGACTAGTAGGCACGAACAGGATTTCCATTTATCTGACAGTCAAAGAAATATGCTTCGTTTCGGTTTTGGGCACCATGGTTCACAATTTGGTTTCTTATAATTGTTCGACGACAGTCTTTTTCCAGATGTCCTAACCGCTTACACTTCGTACATTCTCGTCTTGGGCTTGAGCAATTGTTGGCAAAATGTCCCTTCTTTTTGCAGTTGTAGCATCTCTGCTCTGATTTATTAAATGTTTTCACCCTTTTAGATGGATGGTCATGGTAATGTCGCTCGTTGAAGTTAAGACGTCTTTTAATTGGTACCTGACTTAAGGATTCGCCTTCAGCCACTTCTGGTTTCAGTGACGAAAGATATTTAGCGTACAATGTATCCGGCGATTCGTATCTACCAGCACGTGCACCTACTTGTACAGTACGATCCCCAATTCCATCGATAATGCATGACACTGCATTCTTAGGACTTATTTCGCAGGCACCGATAAGCTCCATCTTGTCGAAATAGTAAACGTCCCAGCTTTCCGTAGGTAGCTTTGTCCTATTTAGTAATTTCCTCAGATTGGTTGCATAATCTTGAAGTTCAGGGAACGATTTTTGTAGCAAAGCCTTCCAGTCATTCCAACTTAAGTCATAAGTCGGCAAATTATCGTGCCATTTACGAGCCAATCCACTTAAACGACTCTGCATATAAAAACTCAACGTGTGTTCGTCTCAATGGTTTATTCAATCTTATCCAGCCACTTTAAACAGCTTAGATTGGGATTTCCTGGACTGAACAATGGTATGCACTCAGGTTTTACTAGCATCTTACTTGTCGATGGTTTCGAAACATTTTTTTCGATAAGCTGCTCTACCATCTTTTCTAAACGTGCCACCTTGTCCATCGCAGGTGGTGTGTAACTTCTATGGCTCGTAGAAGCCTGCGTTGTATCAACCACACGATCGGTTGATGAATTTTTACAGGTACGTGATGATACATGTCTTTTTCCACGCTTATAATTATAATTTTCCTTTGAGCTGTCACTAGAACTCGAATTGTATCTTGATCTGGACCTCCCCATGATTAAATGCTTAGTTTATACGTTAACCAAACATCAATCACTAGGAAAAAAAGAATCCAATGTTACGTAATCACTTAGTTTGTACGTTAACTAGCGCCAAAAACTAATTACGATGTGTAAGTAATAATTTCTACGTTAATTAGACTTACTAATCAATGATGTAACTTAATTTTATACATTAATTAAGTTAATAAAACTAACACTATAACTATGATTATAACAAACGAAAACGGAAAATAACGTTTTCAAAACAAACGACTAATAACATTTGGCGAGGTCTATCCTGCCGCTGCACTATAAAAATATCGAAGAAACTTATTATATTTGGAGTAAATGAAACACACGTCTAATCAGAACAACGTATATTAATAATCTGCCACAATGATAGCTCGAAACATGTGAATCAACTCTTGCGTAACTTCGGACTGTTCTTTTTTCCGCGTTGTTTAAACCCACTTCTTCATAAACAAAAATGGACACACTATATTAACAAATTATTTAACAAAATATCACACAACTCCGTTTGCGTCTATGTTACCCGGTAAGAGAAAATGAGTTTAGAATCGAAATTTCGTTTTTGGATTTTTGAATATTTAATATTTTAACAAAGAAAAACCTGCTATTTCAATAAACGCTAACCCGAATCTTCATCATTAAACGCATTTTTTTAAATTTATTAATTAATTTTTCTATGTGCTAGCTTGGCCTGACAATCCTTAATCGGCCCTAATACTTATTTTTTCTTTCCGGGTAACATATAAGAATAACAATACTTTTTAAACATAAGCAAATTTTAAAATAACATTAATACAGGGTCCAGCAGAAAGGTGGGACGGTTTACAAAAAATCATAAATCGTTAATTTTCAACAACAAAATTTATTGGCAGAATCTGGTTCGGCTTTTCATAGCATTTAAGAAAACTAATTGTGGAAAATCACATCTGTCATGTGGTGGCCACGAACAGCGATGCACTTCTGGAGGCGTTCATCGAAGTTGGCAAACACTTTTTCTAACATTTGTCGGTTAATTTGGGTGGTTTCCACGCGAATCGCTTGCTTCAATTCTTCCATTGTTCGGGGCTTGTGTTCTTAAACACGTGCCTTGAGGTGACCCCACAAGAAATAGTCGCACATGGATAAATTAGAGGACCGAGGAGGCCAGTGAATGTCACCGAACCTGGAATGACTCTCCGAGTTGATGGTAACAGCATTCCCATTATCGGTTTCGAAAAAATAAGGTCCGATGACGCAAGTTTTGCCTACGGCGCACCAAGTCGTTACTTTCGGACTATGCAGCGGTCTTTCATGTAATGTTCTCGGATTTTCGTCAGCCCAATAACGGCAGTTCTGTTGATTCACCATGCCATTGAGATAAAAATAAGCTTCATCACTCATTAACAAAATGAGGTTCTCATTTTGCTCCAAAAGTGCTTCCATCTCACGCGCAAAGGTTAGTCGTTGTGCGTAATCCTGAGGCTGCAACTGCTACACCATGGCCAATTTGTAGGGGTGGAAATGCAGCTACAGATGCAAAATACGCCTTACTTAGCGTTTGTGGAGCCCCTGGAGGTCTTTTGTTCATCAAAACACCTCGTGTACGCAGTGCTTCCACCCAACGAAGAATATTGTTTCGCGCGGAAACAGCTCCATTTCTGTGAATGTTGAAGTGGCGACGAAATTCACGCTGAACTGTCGTGATCGACTCATTATTTCGGACGAAACTGTCGTAGGCAAACGCGCGGTGCTCTACCGTCCACGGCTCCATGGCTTCGACTGGTAAAAAATACTTAGACCTCACAAACCTATCTGTTCTTACCGCGCAGCTGTCGTCCCAATAGGAGCGGAGTACCAGCCATTCCAAAAACATCCGCCCTTTCTGCCGGACCCTTTATATTTTTAGGAAGAAAACGCTTAAAATTTTCCGAAATAGCCGTTCAATAGAAAATTAAAGCAAAAAAAAGGATTTCCTTATATGATAGATAGATAGATAGATAGATGTTTATTTGTTCAAAAAAAAAAAAAAATTGCAATACATACAATATAGAACACGTCAAAAACTATAAACAACAAAACTATAAACATCAAAAACTCTTAACTAAAAAAATCATTAACACAGTAATCACATCTGCTTACAAGATAGGCTCTTAAGCAACGTTTAAATTCCTTCAAAGTTAGATCTTTTATTGTTGATGGTAATTTATTATATAAAATCAAGGCAAAATTTTGAACACCCTTGTAAACAGTGTGGATCCTGGTTTGATTAATTAACGCCAAATCTTTGTTTCTAGTAGAGTATGAATGTTCTCTACTAGTGTTACCAAAAAGAAAACAATTTTTTTTGTAGAACATTAGCGTTTCAAATATATAAATATCTGGTAATGTAAGTAAATTATTTTTTATAAATGTTTGTTTACATGATTCGCCAAATTCCAAATTAAAAATACACCTCACAATTCTTTTTTGAAAAACAAATAAATCCTTTGTATGAGATGAATTGCCCCAAAAAATTATGCCATACTTACTTACTGTATAAGGAAGACAGGGAAAAGTTAATTAGACGAGTTTTAGAGTATTTGTTTAGAAGTGTTTGAGTTAATATATTACATATATTCTAAAATTTGTTTGTTAAATGTAATAAACCCTAGTTATTTTCGATCCCGATTTTGTAACAGTAATTATAAAATTAAAAGAAAAATATTAAATTTAAGACTTACAAGTTTGAACAATTGTAGGTGTATTAAGTTTTTATCAACTTGTTTCATTCTGAAAAAAAGTTTTTTTTACAAAACTAAATAATAAAAATAACCAAGTAACTTAGTGATGATGAATATATGTACTTACTTCACATGCAAGGATAAAACCTTCAAAAATTTCTTGAAAATGACGAAAAAAAATATATAGTACCCCGTATAATCATATCCCTATCAGTGTTGCGATTTTTAATAAAATTATATTCTATACTGTATCTAGAAATTTTGTCATATCTTGACATAATTTCATAGGAGTGTCAGTTAACTTTTTAAAGTGCAAATTAACATAATTATTTTAAAAAATTATAGGCCATTCTACAAGAATTTCTTGAGCTTAAGGTATTTTATTTAAAAAGCTTGTGAGCAAATTAGGTAAATTTTATTGTCTATTTCTAATGTTTCATATTTTTTAATATCATTTTTTAAAGCATGCAGTATTTTTATTTTCTTTTATTGTATTTAAGGGATTCCAATTAAAACATGC